ATATATATATATATATTTCATAACTTTCACTTAACAGTTTTTTTCCACATATGCGGTGAGTGTCAGCTCGAGATGCTATTTTAGTTGCCCCACCACGCCACCTACCTGACTGCCTGTTTTAGCTCATAAAATTCATACAAATTACCCGGTCAGAATATAATTTACATTGCTGGAATTCTTATAATTTGGTGATCATTTTGAATATAAACATATGTTATCTTTTGTGCAAAATATATGACATTTATATTCAAAATATTCCTGGTCTTACAAGGAATTCAGCAATGTCAATTATATTATCCTAACTTTAGTTTGAGGTATTATTTATTAAAATTTAGTGGTTATCCCACACATCTCCTTGGGACGGTTGGTGGGGGGGGAGGGAGGGACCGACCGACCATCTGTTACCCCGTGAAGAATTATTTTTTTTTTTATTAACTGAAGATATTTGTTTTAGCTCATAAAATTCTTACAAATTACCCGGTCAGAATATAATTTACATTGCTGGAATTCTTATAATTTGGTGATCATTTTGAATATAAACATCATATATTTTGCATTAAACATACAATTTTTAGATAAAAATTTTTCTCTAGGTAACTATGTTATCTTTTGTGCAAAATATATGACATTTATATTCAAAATATTCCTGGTCTTACAAGGAATCCAGCAATGTCAATTATATTATCCTAACTTTAATCTGAGGTATTATTTAATACTAAATGTTAAAAACTCTGGAAGGGAGGATTGGTGGGGGGTGGGGGGAGGGTTGGGACTGACCGCGCGGTTGGAAGAGGGGAGGAGGCAAGGTGGGGTACTTTGATTGATAGATAGTGTCGTGAAGATTATTTTTTTTTTTATTAACTGAAGATATTTGTTTTAGCTCATAAAATTTCTTCCAATTACATAATTGAGAATATGAAATTTAGATTTGCTTGTAATTTGAGTCCATTTTTTGAATATAAACATCATATATTTTTCATTAGTATACAATTTTGGATAAAAATTTTTCTCTAAATGTAACTTATATTTATCTTTGTGCAAAATATGACATTTATATTCAAAATATTCTAATCTTACAAGAATCCAGCAATGTCAGTGTATTATCCTAACTAGTTTGAGGTATTATTTATTAAAATTTGGTTTTCCCCAAAGAATTTCTCTAGAGGGAAAGAAACCCAGTGGGTGTAATGGTGAAGAGGGGGGGGGAGTTGAGTCCATTATTTGAATGGACATTAACCAGCGACTGTATTTCTCTTAAATATTAATTGTGTGAGCATACCATCATAAAATTTAGATGTTATTTTTACTACAACATAGGTATTGTGTCGGAAAAAGTGGAGTTTGGGGTTCGGGCCAGTCTCTATTGGAATTAATCCCATATGTTCTGTTGTTCATGAGGACCCTCTGCGTTCAATTGACCACGTTAAGTAGAGGTACCTTTAATATATATATATATATATATATATATATATATATATATATATATATATATATATATATATATATATATATATATATATATATATATATATATATATATATACAGGGAAAATAAAACAACAATTTTAGCTTTCGTCTTTATTCAAAGAACATCTTGAATAAAGGCGAAAATATTATTCGATGTATTTATCTATATATATATATATATATATATATATATATATATATATATATATATATATATATATATATATATATATATATATATAATATATATATATATATATATATATATATATATATATATATATATATATATATATATATATATATATATATATATATATACTGAATATACTATGTACAAAAAATGAATGTTCAATGAATTATTTATGGTGCATTAGGGTACTGGCCACTTCAGACGGGCTATAAATAGCCTTGTTATCTCCCCTCCATCTCACCCTGAGCCAGAGGGACGCGTCTTGGTAAATAACATGTTTGCTTATTTTCCATTTACTTGAAATAGATTTACCGAATTATTTGTTTATTTATTTATTTATAATATACTGTAATATATTAAACACACTGTAATTATTTTCTTTAATTTATAAACTGTTTTGCGACAAAGGAATGTTCTCCAGTAGTGTTTCATTAGGATTTGAGTGAAAAAATATTACGTACTTACTACATACATTTATTACACAAACATATTTATATATACTGTATGTATACATATATACACATGCACACATTTAATTTACAAAGTCACAATATTTTAAAAGCAAATTACCCAACAAGTTAAAAATGTTATTAGCACATGATTATTACTGACGTCATCATGTATTAAAAACCTTCAAAATCCACATCATCAACATCCGATATCATAAGTTCTTCAAGTACATCCTGAGATACATTTATGGCTGCTTCATCATAAGGATCAAACTCCAAATCAGATGACGTGGCTTCGGCTTCTGTTTCATCCTCGCCCTCCCACAACATATCATCCTCCATACCATCCATTGAATTAGATATTCCGCACTTTTTAAAAGACTTGATAACTGTTTCCACATTAATATCATTCCATGCCTTGATAACAAAATCACACAGTACATCCAGTTCGGGAGCATGCATATTCCCACCTTTCGTGTAAGACTTTTTGCCGCTGATCATCCACTTGTTCCATTGTTCACGAACGCGGTCCTTGAATGGTTTGTTTAGACAAACATCAAGTGGTTGTACAACTGAAGTTAATCCACCAGGAATAACTGCAATGTCACTGTTGTTCCTCGCCATGCTGGTTTTTGTTCCCTCTGTTAAATGACTCGCGAACATATCCCATACTAAGAGGCTACGCTGTTTTCGAAAGCCACCAGGTCGCCTACACCATATATGATCAATCCATAACTTTATTCCTTGTTCGTCCATCCACCCTTTCTCGTTGACGTGAACAAAAACTCCAGCCGGGAACTTGATTTTGGGCATTGTTTTCCTCTTGAGAATTAGCATTGGGTTTAACTTGGTTCCGTCTGCCATGCATGAAAGTACTACTGTAAACCGTGTCTTTTCGTGTCCTGTTGTTTTCACGAACACTGTTTTTGCACCCTTTGTATCAACAGTATGATTACCAACCATGTCGAAGTTCATAGGTGTTTCATCCATGTTCCCGATGTTGCTTAATGGATAACAATGTTTCTTACGTTGTTGTATTATGTAGCGATATTGGAAGCATAATGTGTTGTCTAATGGTAGACCCTGCTGCTATATGGCATCACGAAAATTGTGACCAAGTCCCAGGTTGCTGACCTGACTTTCTGCCTCATTTACACACAATTGCAGTTTCAATTGTTCCTCTTACTTTGACAACACAACATACATACAGTATATTATTTCTCGTTTTTGATCTTTTTTTTTAATTTTTGTATTTATTTATGGTTAGTTACTTAAAATAAGGCCAATTCATTTCAAGTAATGGCATCAAATGTTACCGGCTGGTGTAGTGTAAACACTAGTGACGTCACTTAAGCGTCTGTAATTAACTGTCGATAGTTTCAAGAATTAACGCACTCATTTACTGAATATTCTTTGTAAAAAAATAAATTTTAAATCAATTATTTATAGGAGATAAATATTATTATCAGTAAATATACCGATACCCGGTATGCATTACTGATCACCTCAACGGCTAAAAATAGCCCAATCTCGCGGTCACTTTCCCTTTCTTGTCTCCTCACTGGCAAATGGGGAGGGGTGTGTGATGATAGCAGCTGTGTTTATTACAGGGTATGTTAGACAGGTTTATAATACATTTTTATTATTTTAATATACCGGTAATCTTAATTTGAATCCAGCTTGCCAAACGTAAGTTTCAGTATAAAATAATTAGTGGTAAGACCTTGTGAGTGGCTTACGATGTTTCCATCACCACTCTTGACACAGTAAACCACAATATTTAAGATGTAAGAATTTTATATTTGTTGCTTAAGATGACCCCCTAACTTTGGGCAGATTTTTTTAATGTTCAAATTTCGTCTTATAAGCCGAGATATACGGTATTATTAATTTTATTATTATTATTTTATTATTATTAATATTATTGTTATTATTATTATTATTATTATTATTATTGTTATCATTATTATTTTATTTTTGTGTATTTTTTATTATACATTTTATTTACTATGAATAATTATTATTATTATTATTATTATTATTATTATTATTATCATCATCATCATCATACTATTATATTTTCTCCCAGGTCCCGATGTGGGTCATGACCTATGCCCGGGTGGGCTGATCCTGTAAAAAAAAAAAAAAAAAAATTTTCCCCCACAAATTTTTTTTCGGTTTTCAGAGGTTTTCAGAATTTTGGATAAGGGGTTGTCAACCTGGTATTATATTATTATAATAATTATTATTATTAATAATATTAAAATCATTGATGTTGATATGACTGCAATTTTATAGTAACAACTTACAAGCACCTCACCAGGCATCACACGCGACTCCACTGCTGGCGACCAGGCGAATACGCGCTGCAAATTTAAACTGTCTTGAGCCCGTTATTTCAAATATAGGTGTGCGTTAATTAGCTTTTGGTATTAATTGAACAATCGCTTTATTCCAAAAACGCTTAAATCAAATGCTCGTAAAATGCAAGTTACCTGTATTCTGGATTATTATTGTAAAGAAATGAAGTTTCTAACGGATTCCAGTAGTTTCGACTCAAGAAAAACATCTCCAGCATCCAGGAACATTCTGGTGAAGTGGGCTAGTGTGCGTCTGTGCAAGAGGTTTAGTTTAACACTTGGAAACTTTTTCCAGGAACCGGAAAAGGTTCTCGGGATAAGGAATTTTTCCAGGTTTGAGAAAGCCGTCTCATTACTCGGAAATCCTTCATCCCTGGAAGTGGTCTGCACCAATTGTTCTGGCTAATGGAGATATCACTGTATGTATGATCCCATAGCTTAAGGGTTAATTGGGCTTCAAATCTGTGACCAGTTGACTGTCAGCCTAGACTGATTACCAATCGACTACTGTATTGTACCTCTATTTTTCAGGCAAGCAGTACACCTAACACATGCAGCATGTCTCATCTTGTTAAGAAGTATCACCTGCAAGACCAAATTCGTCCTCTTATTAAGCTCTTCAAACCTAAGACTGATTCAGCAGGGATTACAACTAAGGTATTTAAAGACACTTTATTTTATTAGGACAGCACAACATACTGTATTGTACCATAGGCAGACCATGATTGATGGGGCATTGATTTAACAAAAAGGTAAAAATTGTAGTATGTACAGGAGCTCCTCCACTTACGAACGAGTTACTTTCCTGAGGCTTGTTTGTAAGTCCAACTTTACTCTTGTAGATACCAAACATATTGTAAAAAATGAAAAGATTATGGATATTTAGTACAGCTATACCCTTTAATGCAGCCTTAAAACCTGGCTCACTCTTCTCCTCTTAGGTAATGTTTGTTTTATTTGGAATTTTCTTCAAAATAATCCAGTCTCAGCCAATGGTGAATGTGCTAAATGTATAAAAATGATAAATAATGATATAAAAAACACCATATAAGATGCATCCCTCATTTTAGCAGGGTGTATTTAGGAAACTGTTCCCAGTAATATACTTGATAAAACCACACAGGAATAGGGAAACAGTGGAGCACCTTAGCTTTTGTCTTGATTCAAGACATCTTCAGAGGCAACTGAATTTACAGGGACTGAGAGAGATTTATATACATTGAGTGACCTTACATAACATCAGGTCAGGTCAGTAACATGTGAGGCACTCATCATCTACCCTACATCCACCTCAAATGCTTTCAAAGTATTTTTAACCTTAGGCCATTAATTAATTCATTAATTAATACCACAACATCACACACACAACATCTCTCTCTCTCTCTCTCTTTTTTTTCTTGTTTAGTTGGCCTCCAGCCTCCCCCAATAGCCACACCTTCACCACCATTTTATTACCTTAAGATTAAATATCCTACTACAAAAGTAGCTCCCTTAGCTGTGTTGACTTAGTTGGGCCCACAGATCTATGCGGCATTCAGTGACTGTTGCCTCAGTCAATATAAGCAACTTTTTTCAGCTTTTGGGGCCAAAGATCTCATTCCCCTGAGGCAAAGCAATGCAAACCTAAGCAGAGAGAAGGACATTCGGCATCTCAGCCAGGCTGCAACGTAACTTCTGGGCTGCTGCTTCTGTTCAGATAGCACCTCTGCCAGTCTTGCGAAGAAGCGTCCTGCACTTGTTCCTATCCTGCCAGAAGTTGTGAACAGTAAGGGCTACTGTGAGCTTGACAGTGTTCTGATGTTCGGTGGCAGCAAGCTCCCCTGAATTAGTCAATCCCATTCCTCCCAGTCTCGGTGGGAGTGCAAGGAGTGACCTTTCTGCTGGGGTTAAATAAGAGTTTTTCACTAGTGTTGGTATAAAAATGACCTTGATGGCTTCTTCCAGAGGGTGGAGGAGGGGTCCGATAGCAGGGATTGTGTGCATCAGGTAATTCCAGTCATGCTTGACTCCATGGGTGAATGCCGCAAAAGCTGCATGTGGCTCAGTTTTAGCAATCTCTGAGAGAGCGTGGATTTCTTTCACCCACTCATTTACCTTTTCCGTTACGTACGCGGTCTTGAAATCGTTCGTGCTGATTACCGCACATACTGTAGATGTCTTTGACCGTCCTTTGATATTTTGACCTCACTTTCGCCGATCACCTACATTGCCCGATCATGGTATTCTGGCTTCACATTGGGAAGGACTTGCTGGCATTTGAGTGGTACCCTATTTGTGGACCATGTGATGTTACCAGGTCCCACCTGCTCAGCTTGTTTTTTCATGGCATGTTTTGGCAGTACAGGTGTGCTATGACGGCGCACGCCACGTGAACTTTTCCCGCTCACACCTGTGTGAAGGGTCCCATTCAACTCTATGTACAGTAAACCTTCGCACTTCCGGACACTTAGGGGGAAGAGGGTGTCCGGATGTGTTCAAATGTCCCTATGAACTGGGGGAAAATGTGCATTGATGATAATCATAATTGTTACGATCTCAAGTATAGAGCGATGAAAAAAATGTGCCAAATTTAAACAATTAACTGATAAAGATTAAAACTTACAACGTAATATAAAAAGAAGAAAAAATCACTTTATGTTTCAATAAACAATATGAAATTAGTACACATCACTTAAAAAATATATTTACAAATACCTATACCAAGATCACTACTAATAGAATAACCAATATCACAGCCAATGCCACCTTGTTACAATTCCACTTAAGTGTTTGAGGGAGGAACCAGCTGAAACGTGCTTGTAGGGAGAAACAATACACACGGTATAGGTGGTTAAGAAAATCTATTCTCCCTATCAATACTCGGCCTTCTTTTGCTCTAGGGAAATGGAATCCCAACAGTCTTTCACACTGAGGACACACACAGGGGGCACTACACTGAAGATCACAGCCAAGTCCCAGAGGAGCAGCCAACCTAGGCGTGGAGTAGCTTGTGGCCAACTGCCTCACACCACCCTGCTGGCTTCCCACCAACCTTTGGGAGTGGCAACAGGGATGATTCAAATAGAGGTGAACCAAGGTTGTTCGTGGTTTCTGCTTCGAGACTTGTACAGAGGGGGTAACGACTCCCTACGTCGTAACTATAATATTGTACGTACATCAACTTTATTGATATGGGTAATAACAAGAGTTTTCTTAAAATGATACATACAGTACACCTGACCTTCGTTTTATGCGAAGGTCGGGTGTACAACACGGCATAATGGGAATCCTCATATAGTAAATAAACTGTACTTAATCTTATGGGGAAAATTAGGGTATGTTCCATAACTACTAAAAGTCAACAGTAATGCTATAAAAATTGTGGAAAATTCATTACAATCCTCTAATGTGGGTTAGAAATATAGATGATATAATATAAAACTATAAAATACAATATAAAATTACAAACTAAGACATATGAAGAGCATGGTTGTTTGTGTGGAAAGTGAAAGTGTGTGGAGTGGCTGACTCACCACTCCAGCAATGTTCCGTGTTGTCACATACAGAGTAGTAGACACACAAACACACACTGTGCCACATTTCACAACCATTTCTGGAGCATTATTGTTATGAAAGTTGTAGAAAAATCATTATAATACTCTAATGTGGCTTAGAAATAAAGTTATTATAATATAAAACTATAAAATAAGAAAAAATAAAAAACATGGGTGTGTGTGGGTGGGTGGAAAGTGAGGTGCATGTGTGTGTGTGGTGGTGGCAGTGGCCTCGATCCACCTGATAGCTGAGGAGCCCTCCCTGGCTCCCTCATTGTGACTTCACATCAATTATATGAAAGTTTGGTGTGAATGCAATAAAATAAAAAATACCGTACCGTATTTTACTGCAGGAAGTATTTTGGAAAAAACTTTGGTGTATATTTTCCTCCTGTAGCCATGGTTTTCTTCAAATAATATATACAGTACCAGGAAATGTGAGGAATAAATAAGAATAACACTTACAAAAATTACTGTACAGGGTTGTATTGCCAAATCAGTAAATAAAAGCCAGCTAAAAGTTTAACACTTTTGCCATTTGCACATACTCCTGGTTTCACCATAGTAATGAAGATCAGCCGGGATGCCGATTCCCTAGCAATGCTCCCCCCATACACTCTGCCCTCTCCTCCCATTACGTGTTTGCCCTTAGGACAATTATTTCTTTTACTTTTTTCACAATATTTATGTAGGAAGGTGTGTGCATGTAACTGTGTAAAAATAACTGAAGAAAGTTATGTACGTATATCTTCACAACCATAACACCACAGCTTGGCCCAGTAGCCTGGTGGTTACAGTGACGAGTTTAACCTGGCTACAATGCCATGTTTCATCACTATTACGCACTGTTATGTCAGTAAACACTAATAATAACAGTAAATCCAGTGAAATATGGCAGAGAGGGAGGAGAGTTATAAAAGCATACAACGCTCTAACTAACGGTCACTCACTCACTCCCGTTGCCAGGCGTATGGGAGAAATACATATCTTGTAGTGTAAATTGAAAGTGGTGATGGGCACAGTGATAAACAAATTATATAAGCTATGCATTTACCAATAATTATATAATATGAAACATTGTATCATTACTAGAGTGAATGAAATAATATTCCCACAAACAACAATAAATAACTCTCGGGCACCTGTGTCCCGCGTGCTGATGCCTTGGTTCCTTGAAATTTTGTGGATATGTCATCGGAGAACAAATTTTGTCTTTTTTTTTTTAACTTCTGAACTATTTTTTGGTAAATAAATTTGTCTGGCTTACCGTAAGTGATATCTCCCTTAGCGGGGTCCGCCTTAACGAAGTTTTACTGTAAATCAATTGTTTAACTTCAGAAAAGTTTATTAGGAGATGCCCTAAGAGATTGTCTCACAAGAAAGGCAGATGTGGTGGAGCCAATAGAATGCATAATTAGGGAATTATTTCAGTTTAAAATGAATTGTGGGTAGAAATAGTGTTGCTGCATCAATGCGAATTTGCAGTAAATAAAAGCCAAATGAAAGTTTAACACAGCCGCCATTTGCATACACTCCCAGTTTAACCATAGTAACAAAGATCAGCTAGGATGCCGATTCCCTAGCCCCCCAACACTCTGAACTCTCCTCCTGTTATGTGTTTTCCCTTAGGACAATTATTTCTTTTACCTTTTTCACAACATATATGAAGTATGGTCTTCATGTAACTGCGTAAAAATAAATGAAGAAAGTTACTTATATCTACCCGAGAATAGGAGTTGAAAAACAACCATAACACCTCACAGCTTGGCCTAGCAGACTATGCGGAATGGGTCCATTTTGACAGCGGGTAAGTAAATACAGCATACAGACTGAGAGAGAGAAACCGGATTGGAATTTTCTACATCCAGATGTTGGTCCGGACTAACTGAAATCCGGTATTTGAAAGGTCCAGAAGTGTAAGGATTTGCTGTATTTTAAACCTTGTGTGTTTTCACGCGACATGAAAACACGCTCGTGTGAAGGGAACCTTACACCACTGCACCTCGTGTGTACCCACCTTTCACATTCTTTACATGTTATTGAATTATTGCAACACCTTCTTACAGGCAGCACATGCCTCTTTTCATCTTTTCACCTCAAGTCCTTCACCCACACAACTAATCATTACTTTGTTTTGTTTTTTCCACCTTCATCTTCATACTGTGACTCCATTTCAACCTTCCATTTCTTAAATTTCACTATTACCTCTTCAATACTTTTGGCTGTCCAAACTAAGTTATCAGCATACAACAATTCTCATGGTAGACCAGTCCTAAAATTTCATGATCGCACCTCTAACACCATGATAAACAGAAGGGAGCTTATGTCAAACCCTTAAATTCACCTCAAATTCTTCAATATCCATGCCTTTTACTCTCACATTGGTTCTCAAGCCAGTATACAATGTCTTAATCACTTGAAGGAGACACTCTTCTTTCCCCAAAACTGTATATTTTATTTGTTATCATCCAGAGAATAGTTGGGTCATATACATTTGAATTTACTGGAGACATTCACCTACTAGAGTTTAGAAGTTATTACGTATCCAAGTAAATCCAGTTTCTTTGTGACCTACTTTGTAGGGGGCATTTGTAAATGTCTGGAGTTACAGAGCACAACAAATTATTTCCTTATATTTCACTTTTTTCCAGGAATGGATATGTGTTGGAGAATGGGTTTCGAACAGCCCTGTGGTGACATTAGGTACTTCTTCCCGACATCTGTTACCAGGTCCTCCTGGTGCTCAGCTTCCATTCATTATAACTGCTGCAACTGCTGATGCCTTCATATATTCAATCAACAGAGATAATATGCAACAGGTAAAGTACAATCTGAATCAGTCATTCAGTATGATGTATAATTTTATAGTGTCCACCATATGATCCTGTACTATATCATGACCCTTGCTGTACTTTGCCTTCTGGAACACAGGATGAAATATATTAACAGACTGTATACCCTTGGTATTATGATGTGTTGGTATGCCTGCTCTCCTTAACAAATACTTCCCTATGTTATAGATACAAGTCATTTTGTGGGTTTCCGTAGATGTTTCGTTTCTGTATCTGCCCTCCATTTCGTTTGGATTATTGTTGGTGAATGAATTGGCTGCAACATTTATATTCTACTTTGGTTCCAATTGTTAAATAAAATAGTCAAATCCATATCGAATCCCATGAACCAAGACCATCATTCATAATCTTGAGATTTTCTAACTAATGGAGAATATACAAAGATATCCATAAGAAAAGTCTTTGAATTAAATTTATGTAACCAAATGCCACATTATCTTTTAATTTTAGTCAATCCTTTGCTACATGTTGGTTTTCCTCCCTTAAATACATGTTATTTTTTAAATGGCAACTGTTCTGTTCAGGTCTCAACAATCTTTCCTACTGCGTGCCACAAATACTTCCCTCATCATTCATCACTAAAGTACTACAGTGCACTTGATCAATTGAGGCACTCAGCATTAGAAGGGGGTGAAGCGACACCCCGGCCAAAATGCATTTTTTTATGGATATCACTATTTTTACCCTTCCTCTACATGTTGGCATTGGATGTAAACCCTCTAGCTAGAATAGAAATATGAAAGAAAGTCCTTCAAAAATAAGGTGTGATTTCGCCTCAGACCTCGAGCTACGTATCTGGCTGTGCGCTCAGTCAAAGAAGGTGGCAACATCCCATTCAGAGCGAGAGGAACGCGAGCCAATGATAACGCGCCTCCCTCGGACCATACCCCCTGAGGCAACCAATCACAATGGATTTCCCCTTGCTATGTCACAGCTCCTCTGCCAATCCGCGCACCCAGATGCTGCCTCCTTGTTAGTTTTGGCACATTGTATAGCATAAAGAGGTTCAGTGTGCTTTCCACTGCTATTTCTTATAACTTTTCGGCATAACATTGACGTTATTCATGTTCCACGGGTGTGAGAAGTGTTGTGCAATATCTGCCCGATATTAGAGCAAAACTCGAGTGAGGCCAGGCCTTCTGGTGTGGGTTAAGGAGTCTATTATTCCTGAGGGTGTGTTTAGTGACGACAATCCTCATGTGGACACCCCAGGAATGCTTGGTGATAGTGATTTTGGTATACCTGTACTCATAATACAAAAAGTGACTGCTATGCATCACAAGGCCTTTTTGTAGACTGTGTTCCAGTACAGAGTTACGTGACATGCACTGACGGCAATAATGACGATGAAAGTGAAGATGAAAATGATGAAAGTGAGTCTAATGGTAACACAAACAGTGACACTAATGTATCACAAGAACATACAGACTGTGAGGAGGTAGAAGTGGACAGTGACGAGACTTGCATTGACCTTGATAGTGATGAAAGTGAGCCTGACCCAATGAATGCCAGTGAAAGTGAGCCCATAACTCAGTCATATAATGAAATTGAACTCTTGCCGGCATCAGTATTCAGTGATTTAGTTGATGAAGAATCTATGTGGCGATTTTTAGAGAGGGCAGAGAAAGACTTTGATCAGTAGTTGATTGATTATGACGAGGCCATTAAAGTTATATGCACTCCTCAGGATTTACGTAACTTCAACTTACTACAATCGTCAGGGACAATACAGTGACCCCTCGTTTAACGAACGCCTCGGTTAACGAAATTTCGGTTAACAAACTGCCTTCCATAAGGATCTTCAATTCGGTTAACGAACAAAAATTCGGTTAACGAATTTCCTACGAACCGACCTCAACATGTTTTCGCTTGCACTGACCGGGCAACCAGCTTTAGTATCAGTCCGCCAATACATTAATCGGTTCTAGGGCTTAAATTCCTTACTATTTTAGTAAATATCAAGAAGTTTATACTATTCAATAAGTTTAAAAGTTTAATATTCAATTTTTTAGTCATTTTAACAATTATTGAACATAATTGAAGGTAAAGTGACTAGTTTAATGCTCGGCATCCAGCCTCTTAACACAGGTAACATCTTGCTTGAGACTCTCTTCAACTAAATGCTTTTTTTCTGTGTTTCCAAGCAAATTATTGGTCATTTTGAAATATATTTTACATATTGACAATATATAATGCAGTGCAGTGTTGATTTATAGAAAATAATCTTGAATTACACCAAGAGAGCTAAAATTTTATGGGTGAAATGGTGCCATGGGGTGACTTCTCTTCCACCCCAATGCCTTCTCTTCTTCCTTCTCCTCCACCCCCATTCTAATTCCCATCATCATCATCATCATCCAGGAGCCTTCTACATACACACCTCAAAGTAAGTGAACTTTTCTACCATTTTTGTTGAATTTAGGAAATTTTCGGTGAGCTGGAACCAATTACCCAAAAACCCATTGAGACAATGGTTTCGGTTAACGAACTTTTCGGTTAACGAACAACCTTCTGGAACGGATTGAGTTCGTTAACCGAGGGGTCACTGTAAAACTAAGGAACTAAACAAAGTAAGATTGTAATACTATTATCATAATACTGTTTTTAACAAAGATTATGCAAACTTTCTCCGCCTTTGTATTCGTATGTTAATTACGTTGGGGGGGGGGATGAGAGTAGTGGTGTTTCCTTATTATTACACACTATTATACTTAACAATATATAGATCTTTGGCTAATAATAGGGACGGAATGATAAATACTGAGCGGAAAATTATTTTTTTATTATTATTTAATTTTTTGGGGGAGGGGGTTTATAGGGGGGGGGGGGTGTAAGACGAGTGTTGTTTTTGGTGATCATTAACTAGTTTTACAGTATTAGCCCACAATAATAAGAAAATTTTGCAGAAAAATCCGATTATTGTTGGTTTGAAGATCAAACAGCTGAACATCACGGGTAGTTATTCGCATTCAACTTGCAATAAAATAATAACTATTCACAGTACCAACTTCCAGTTTTCACAGTTTGCTAGGAGAGGAATTGAGCTGCACAAAAATGAAAAATAGCCCTCTAGCTTAAAAACCAACAAAGTTATGGTTGTTTGAACTTCAAAAAACTTAAAACGCCTTTTTCTCGACTTTTTGAATTTGACGCTTCACCCCCTTCTGATGCGGGGCGCCTCAATTATTTCAATGTAATTACAGTATTAGGCTAAGTATTATTTCAATAGTCTAAATCACAGAACATTACACGATAAAGGATATATAATAATAATGGTTGCCCCTCATGTAACGAGGATGGTTGCCCCTAGGGCCACCTAGGCGTAAATTTGTTTAAGGTGTAGAAGCTGTCGCCAACACAACAACCACACCCTAAGTTAATGAGTTGCATGACTCAGCGTCAAGGAATACTCCGAGAAGTCCGGACAACTCGCCAATTGCACTGGCTAACCATTACCCCGGAATACGATCTGCAAATCGATTAACATCCACGTTCCCAATTACTGCTGGGTAGACAGAGGCAAATGGTGTAAAGAAACTTGCCTATAGTAGTTCCACCCTGCCCGGGGATCGAATCTGGGTCCGCTCACTTATGAGGTAGGCATGCTGACCATTACACCACAGGTTGCCATGATGAAAGGATATTAAGCCTATATAGTCAGTGGTACCAACCAAACATATACATCTGTGTCTTTCTGTACGTTTTTGTTCATTTTGTTTTCCATCGGACCCGAAGGTTACGATACCTTTTTTGATGGGTGTACATGTAGGAGTGGTATACATCTTGAATGGGTCAATATTTATCTCAGAATCTTGAAACAGATTGCCTCTGTTAACAGTGTTTTATAAACTACCTGCAGGATTACTCATGATTTACCTCAAGAACCTATGGTAGTACCACTGCTTTTCCCAATGTAACCGAAGGACTACTAATCCAGGAAGGCAAATCAGACTAAACCCCTTTGTTGATGATTCCAGTTTTAATAGCAAATCACAATCAAGAACACCAAAATATTTATGATAAAAACTGGCTTGCTCTATATCCAGCTTATCACTGAAAACTGGAGCCTTTACCCAAAAAAATGAGGTCTTCTTTATAGATCATGAATTTGAGTACAGTATTTTACTGAAATACAGTAATACAGTAAACCCTCAATAACTCGGCAAATATGGCCTCTGACCTTGCTGAGTTATCCCAAATTCCGACTTATCGAGGCACCCCGACAAAAATACAACAATAAAAAATTATTGACCCATATATGTGGACATCAATTACTAAATGTAAAAAAGTAACACTTCCCAACACTGCAGGCAAAGAATGAAGCATCATAGTAGGTGACACAGAGGCATGGTAGGTGACACAGAGGCATTGTAGGTGACACAGAGTCATGGTAGGTGTCACAGAGGCATGGTAGGTGACAGAGGTATGGTAGGTGACACAGAGGCATGGTAGGTGAGGCAGGTGGCCAGATATGCCAAGATTTTTCCAGATAATTTTATGTGTCTTGGCATTTCCCGAGTTATACTTAAACTTTCCGAGACCATATCCATGCCGAGTTATCGAGGGTTTACTGTATCTCCATTACCCAAAATCCCTCTTAGCCAAAATTTGAATTTGCTTGGAATTTTTTGAAACATTTCTCTCAATTCCGAGTTTGTGAACGATATTCTGAGGTTGAAAATCAGGCGCATTTTCTGAAAAATTCTGTGAAAAATTCCGGAACTCTCCTAACCTCTCCATTCTGGGCCTGGGAATAAAATTTCAGGGAGTTCTGAGAGATTGCATCATGCTTTAACACATCCCCACATGCCACATGGATCACTTAGTTCATATTCTGCTGCCACTGTAGAAGGATGTTCCCTCGCTAGCTGCTGCTATTGTGTACAATTTGTGTTGTGAGCAGAGGAGCTGGCTGTTGATTGGCTGAGTGACCACTACCAACCAATAAGAGACGAGGACATTACCAACGACGTGGATGCTGGTCCCAGTCCTCCTCTCCTCAAGGCACTACAGTGGCTTGCTTTTTCCTGTATTTTTGAGGTGTTTTTGGCTGTGACAGCTACCATGGCTACCCCACTTACTGCTGATGGAACTCCAGCACCTGCCCAGCCAGGCAGAAGAGTGAAGTCGATGACCCTGGCACACAAGGAGGAGATGATAGCCGGGCTGGGCAATGGCAAGACAGTGTTTATTCTTCTTATTTAAGGGCTTATTTCTATTTTATTTTTCACATATATAACTAAGGGTAACTTTCATAGAGGTTATGTGCAGAAAAAGTGTTTTGAAAGACTAGTTTTGGGTTCATGGTGTGTATCTGGAGGGTTCCTGGAACCAATTGCCTTATTCCCCATTAATTTATAGTACCTAAGTACAGTAAAGCCTCCGATAACGACGGTTCGACCAACGACTATTCATATTTAAAACCCTGGTTAATTTAGGACTCAATTCAATTTACATCATTAGTTTATTCGTATTTACGACGAAAATATAATAAAAATAAAATAAAATAATATTTTCATATAAATAATAACTAAATCCCAATATGTATTATATAAAAAAATACTGTAAAAAAAATGAAGAGCGCCTTGCGCAAAGAAGCTGCCGAGCAAGGGAAGCTGCTGGGCTAATGAGTGGTAATGTTCATCACCGGTAAACAAGAGTCGGAGCTTGGCAGTCCCTTTGTTTTCATGCATCTGAACAGGAACAGGAGAAAAACTTTCTCAGGTTTCTTACGGCATTTTTGAGTCCCTATTCAACAAGAGTAAGAGAGCAAGTGATGGTAGTGCTGTTTCAAAAGCTAAAAGAAAGTGTATGAGCATAGCCGAGAAACTTGATGTGTTAAAACGATATGAAAAAGGTGAGAGGTCTGTGGATATTATATGGAGCAAGCAATGAACATAATATCATTTTCTGAAGTGGATCCATTAACAGAACGAAGCATTAAAATTAACAGGGACGTGAAAAACGCATATGACCTCTACACAAAGATGTATAATGAGAAAAGAAAGCGGCTGTGAAAGGTTCTTTTGACAGCTTTATTATTCAAAGGCCTAAACCACCAACTTCAGTAACAGTTTCAGCAACAGCTATGATATCTTTATGGAAAGCTTCAGCTTCAGCCGAAGTTGAACCTGATGACTTTGTCATCTGAGTAAAAACTAGCACAATATTCATTGGCTGTCCTTATGTTTAAGACTTTACCACCAATTGTGAGTAGAATTTTTGTTTTACATTAGTTAGTATTATTTAAAACATATATGAACAGTAACAAGTGTTGCTTTCATATTCTTATGTAGAGTAATGACAATGTTTTCACATGTACGCACTTACACACAATGGCGTTCCCAATCTATTTTGTTTTTTTCTTTACCATTAATGGTTAGCTACTTCTATTGTTCCATTTATTAACATTAAATAACATTACTTAATGCATACATATTCATTTTTTTTATTTTCATTTCACTACAGCAACAACCAGGGTCTTATTTCTTCAGTTTCTTATGTAGAAGTAGAACCATCGTCATTCGTCGCTAGTGTTGTAAACATGAATGAAAACAATGCAGTCTCATCTCCTCTTGTGTGTTTTAATATTCTATGTATTATTAATGAATTGCATTATTCATTTCGCATATATATATAAATTAATTTGATCAAATACTTTCAGTAAAAAACAATAACGAATCATTTGTACATATTCTTAAGATAAACAACGCGGATTCCTTGAGTGCGCAAGTATACATTGCTGTTCCACTATCACTCTCTTTTTTTCTTTAACATCAATGGTTACTTTTACTGTACATTAAATAACATTAATTAAAACATACATATTTGTTTACGTTAATTTTACTTTAGCAACAATCAGGTGTCTTATTTTCTTGCTTCAGATGGATAACTGACATTATCGGTGTAAACTCTACAACAACAATGGCGTCGCATCTCCTCTTGTGTGATCTTATTATTATTGATTTTTATTGTATAAGGAGCTTTCATAAACATTATTTAAAGAATATAGTTTGCATTTGTCATTAATTGTATTGTTTTTGGGGTAAAAGAGGATAAAAAGCCACACAAAAGATATGAAAAGGTCACACTTGGGAACGCATCTCATTATTATTGCTTTATTTTAATGGTAATTAATGATTCATGATACGATGATTCACCTTACACTGCAGTATTGGAGGACACATTACCGTCGTTATTCGAGGCTTTACTGTACACGGTTTCCAGGGACGTGCCGCTCCGTTTGCACTAATTACCCGCGTACTTGGGGTAGCACTGTATATATACACAGTACAGTATAGTCTGGATTTACGCGGTAAATTGAACCCTTGGAGGTCCGCGTAAAACGAGAAACGCGTGAACAAAATAACAGAACACATGGGATTAATTGAAATAGAGACTGGGCCGACCCCAGACTACCCTTTTTCCGACACAATACGTACTTGTAGTAAAAATTCAGGCTCTACCAGAAAAGGGAATTTCACAAACAGGCTTACATTTAATTTCTTTTTGGTAACTTTTTTAAAATGTAGAATGACACAATGTACAGTATTTACAACTTTTACAGTTGAGCAGTCACAGTTTGCTGAATGTTCGAGGGAGTGGTGATGATGCTCCAGTCAGCAAGCGTGTATCTCTAGACCGGCGAGTGGTATCCCTGGCTCATACTTGGAGTGGCTTCTCTGTCTTAGCTATGGATACTTCAAGCAGTTTGCACTTCATTACACTCGTACGACCTGCTGATGTCGGTGGGTAGAGAACTATTCCGTTATTCTGATCCTGTAAACATATTATACATCAGTTTTATATATATATATATATATATATATATATATATATATATATATATATATATATATATATATATATATATATATATATATATATATATATATATATATATACAGTTAGACCCCGACTTACGACTGCTTCGACTTACGACCGTTGGGACTTACAACCGTCGGGACTTACGACCGCCGCAGTTGTGACCATTTTTTTTTCAAATTTTTTTTTTTCCCAAATGACACACATTTTCTATACCGAAACGTTTCCAGTTAATGTAGTCTCCATGTATAATTAGAAAATTATGGGGGCCCCATGTGCATTCAGCTGACTACATTAAAGGTAAGTGCTCAGTCACACTGTATCCATTCCTTATTATTTATTACTTTCACTGTACTGTATCCATTCCTCATTATTTATTACTTTTACTGTACTGTATTTCATTGTAGATTTTTTTTATTTTTTTTTATCTATGTCGGACTTAGGACCATTCGGACTTACGACCTGGATTTGGGTCCCTAACCCCGTCGTAAGTCGGGGTCTAACTGTATATATATATATATATATATATATATATATATATATATATAATATATATATATATATATATATATATATATATATATATATATATATATATATATATATATATATATATATATATATATATATATATATATATATATATATATATATATATATATATATATATATATATATATATATATATATATATATATATATATATATTGACAATCCCTTATCCGAAATCCTTGGGGCCAGAGGCATTTCGGATTTCGGAATTTTTCAGTTTTCAGAATGGTTGTTTTTTGTTTTTTTTAGCCCACCCAGGCACAAGTCACTGACCCACATTGGAGCCTGGGGGGCGAAAATATATTAAAAATTTTCATAATAATAATTATAATAATAATAATAATAATACGGGGTAAAAAAATAATAATAATAATAATAATGATAATTCATAGTTTCAGGTCGTGTTTCTCACTTTTGATCTTTTTTTCATTCATGTATTTCTTTATTATTATTATTTTATTATTACAGTCAACCCTTAACATACGCGGGTTTAGCATACACGGATTTGCAAATACGCCGATTGCCCCGCCGGAGGAATATTCTGTACATTGAAGTAATTGAAGTACATTCAAATCGCGCGCCATTCAACTCGCGCGCGGCACCGAACACAGGACATCGCCCGCTCCCGCAACCTCACACACACACACGCATAGCTCTCCCTCACTCAGTCAGTCTCGCTGTAACCACGCTTGTGTTGACATCAGCATTGTAGTTGCAAAAATATTACATTTCCGTGAATGAATTATATCAAGCACAGTATGAATAGAATATCACTAATATAAGAGTATTTTAACCGAAAACTACCAAAACAACGAGTAACATATCTTGAACATCGGAAGGTTAGGTAAAGTCTTTTGTTTTCATGTAGTTTATCCTAATTTACATTGAAATGCATTACGTTTCAGACGTACGTATTACAGTGGAAAGTGACGGAAGCAATGACTCGCTTTCTTTCGTTCAAAAGATGTTACCGTAATCGCTTTTCGAATGGTTTTCAGTTAAAAAACTGTTGTATTACAATAATATTCTATCCTAATTCACTTGTGATGCAACAGTTTTTTTAACTGAAAACCATTCGAAAAGTGATTACGGTAACATCTTTTGAACGAAAGAAAGCGAAAGTCATTGTTTTCGTCACGATTTTATCCCACTTTCCACTGTAATACGTACGTCATTTCAGCAAAAATATTACATTTCCGTGAATGTAGTATATCAAGCACAGTATGAATAGAATATCATTGTAATATAACAGTATTTTAACCGAAAACTATTAAAAAAACGAGTAACATCTCTTGAACATTGGAAGGTTAGGTAAAGTCTTTTGTTTTCGTCATGTATTTTATCCTATTTTACATTGAAATACATCACGTTTCAGCAAAACTACTATTTATTTCTGAGAATATATTCATTCAGGCACAGTTTAGGTAAAATATACATGTGCTTTAACATTTTTTAATTGAAAACGATTTGAAAAACACGTACCCTCTAGCCCTGTTCAAGGAGAAGACTGGGAGGAGCTGTTTGGTGCTTAAGACGATGACAAGGAAAATGATTTTGATGGATTTTAATGAAAATATTCAGAAAGACCCTGGCACTGTCAAGGAAAGTGGCTGCTGAAGGCTTCCAGGACATGGCAGAGGACGAGATTAGGGAGCTAATTGAAGAGCACGACACTGAGCTGACCGAGGAGGATCTACAGGAGTTAGTAGACTCAGGCAAGGAAGAGGAAGCAAAAGGGAAAGAGGATGAGGAAGAGGAAGAGCACCAAGAAATAACGTTGGACAAGTTGGGGGAGATGACCAGGAATATTGAGGCACTGAAAAACCTGGCCTATAGTATGGACCCCTCCATGGTGCGTGCCCTGAATTTCATGCGAGGGATGGATGACGTTTTTGCTCAATACAAAAACATCATGGAAGAAATGAAAAGAAAGAGACGACATCTCCCCATCACCATGTTCTTTGATCACCGAAAGAGAGATTTAACACCATCAATCACTGTGGCGGCAGTGAGGAAGCAGCTGAATCCACCGTCGCCCCCACTTCACCACCCATTATGGAATTGAGTGACGATGAGCCCGATGACCCCCGTCCTGTCGCCGAGAATAGGTACGGTACAGTAAAGTGAAATTTTTATCTCTTTTTTTTTTTAATAGCTTTTCTTGCCATGTTTATTGTTTGTAAAAATGCACAGCACAGTACAGTACAGTTCAGTACTGTACATAGGAAGTGGAGGTGCAGTTATTCACAAAACATTTGTGTTTGTTGTCGGCCGTAGTGACGGTGAGGAGGTGGAGGGGACGGAGGGGGGAGCGAGTTGGGAGGAGTGGTGACCTAGGACGCGGGAGGAGGGACGAGTGGAGATGCCAGCCAGTACATTACGGGTGTATTAATTGTTTTTATAGCTATTTTTGCATTTTAATATTAAATACTGTACATTACATTTCAACGAAACTACCATTTATTTCTGAGAACATGGGAATGTAATATTTTTTCTGAAATGATGTACGTATTACAGTGGAAAGTGGGATAAAATTGTGACGAAAGCAATGACTTTCTCTTTCTTTCGTTCAAAAGATGTTACCGTAATCACTTTTCGAATGGTTTTCAGTTGTGGGATTATAAGGCTAATGATAGGATAGAATATTATTGTAATACAGTACGAGTACAGTACAACAGTTTTTTAACTGAAAACCATTCGAAAAGCGATTACGGTAAAATCTTTTGAATAACGAAAGAAAGCGAAAGTCATTGTTTTCATAATTTTATCCCACTTTCCACTGTACAGTAATATGTACGTCATTTCAGCCAAAATATTACATTTCCATATTTATTTCTGAGAATATATTCATTCAGTCACAGTTAAGGTAAAATATACTTGTGATGTAATATTTTAATGAAAATACGGTATCGTAGTTTTCTTTTGTTTTAAATTTAATTAACAAGGATTGATGTTTCAAATGTAATGAACAAACATTTATGTACAGTATCTATAAATAAACTTTAAAAAATGAATATTTTATGTTTTACATCGTCCTGTGCTACCATACCATGCATTTGGCTATTTTGGGCTAGCTATGATGACGCAAGAGATCTGCCCTGGCGACTGTACCGACACTCACAGCTGGTGGTGCGTTGGTGCGTCGTTTCCATTGTTTACTGGTAATTACTGGTAAATATTTTTCAACCTAACGAAACTATCACCCGTTTAGAGGTCGACCCTCAATTTTTTGCCAAATAATTTGGTCTTAAAAACTCGAACTACACAAAAGGTATATACGGTAAATAAGGACATGGGGGCCAGGTTTTTTTAGGGGGGTATCTCTGTTACTTAACCCCAGCGTATGTTAAGGGCCGACTGTATATATATATATACAGTATATATATATATATATATATATATATATATATATATATATATATATATATATATATATATATATATATATATATATATATATATATATATATATATATATATATACATATATACATATATATATATATTATATATATATATGTACCAATTAGTAATGAAAAGTTGTGCAGTTCCTTCAGCAAATGAAGCTCACCAACTTACAATAGGCTAAATTACCTTACAACGTGTTTTCAGTAGGCTATGTTGAAGTTCTTAGCACAGGCTAACTTATCATATCACATACGGTATCACAGTTCTCATTGATCTACAAAAAATACCGGTAATAAAAACCTTTTTGATATTTCACACTTAATATAATACCCGGTAATCTACTTCAACCTCCTATTGTTTACAACGACACATGACGCACCACCAGCTGTTGAGTATTAGCTACACGGTACACGTGTTTTTCGAATCGTTTTCAGTTAAAAAACTGTTACATCACATGTATATTTTACCTTAACTGTGCCTGAATGAATATATTCTCGGAAATAAATAGTAGTTTTGCTGAAACGTGATGTATTTTAATGTAAAATAGGATAAAATACATGACAAAAACAAAAGATTTTACCTAACCTTCCGATGTTCAAGAGAAGTTACTCGTTTTTTAAATAGTTTTTGGTTAAAATATTGTTATATTACAATGGTATTCAATTCATACTGTGCTTGATATAATGCATTCACGGAAATGTAATATTTTTGCTGAAATGACGTACAGGTAGTTCTGCTTTAACGCGATAATTGTGTTCTTGTAAAATATCGTGTTATAGAAAATCGCGGAATAGAAATAACAGGGCTTATGGAGAAAATAGGGTTAGGTGTAGATTACTCGAAATCGAAAAAATTTAGTAGTTAGCCTAACACAAAGGATATCACAGTCTAAATAAATGTTACATTCATATCTAATAATGAAATCATACAGTAAATGTAACACTTTACTTGATGGGGGAGAAGG